AAGCAGCACTGCACGACTGCAGCGGCAGAGGAAGCTGGCGTCGCCGTCGACGGCGGTGCCGCCATCAGATGCCGTAGCGTGCAGGCCAGGAAGGACCTTAGGGCCTCACGTAATTGCCGTACAGCAGCGCCGTGCCGCTGGGTGCTGCTACAGCCGGGCATGTGCTCCCAGCTAATCTTATCAGCTTCTAAAACCGGCAGTAGCTGCTGGAGGAGCCATAGGGCTGGCGGCAGCTGCGATAACGGCAACGGCGTCTGGACGTCCCCGTACGTGCCGGTCAGCCCTGGCGGCGGCGGCGCCGCCGCCGCCGCCGCGGCCGTCAGCATTGAAAACCACCAGTCGGCAGGTCGAGTTGGACCGGAGGGACACGGCTGTACGGCATGATGTAGGACAAAGTAGAGCCCCAGGCGCCGTACAGATATGTTGACGTGCTGGCATGCCTGCGAGACATCGATGGCGGCGAACCGAAAAGCAATTTTCTGTTTACGGCTGTAAGGCATAGATTATTTGGTGGATGGTTGGATGGATGGATAGGTGCAGCCCTGCGCTGGCCAACTTCTAACATGGCTCTCACAAGACTGGGGAGCTTTTCATGTAAAAATTTACTTCCGTGGCACGCGGTTCTTCTTATATTTTTTTTAAAGAGAATTATTATGTATAATTGTAATATAATATTAATTTTATTTTTTATGTAATATATATTATATTATGAGTAGTTACATAGAATAAGCCTCTTTAAAGTAATACAGTGTATAATTTTTTGTAAGAGATTTACGTTAATAAACGCAATACAACAGCTTTCCTAAACAGGCATACGCCCAAACCTGCACTGGCGCTGTCTCCCTCCTCCCCCCACACCACACCACTGAACACACCTTGAGGATAGGCACAGCCAGCCATATTGCCGTACTCCAGCTACTTTCCACCGAGCGCAGAACGCCTTCGCTGACACCTAGCCCCCCATTTCCAACCGTCGCTGTACGACAACTACCGTGACCCCCCGCGCCGCCTGCTTCCGACTCTGCCACTGCCTCACTCGTCGACGACGGCAAAGAGGACGCCGCCGCCACTCCCGCCACTTCCGCCGCCGCCGGCCCAGACAGCAGTACGGGCATGACGTCACTCCAAACGGGCTGTACCAAATGGAACATGTGCTCCTCCTACAGGTTACCGCGGGGGTTCGGGGGGGGTTCGGGGGGAAAACCCGGAGTGAGGTAAAGTACGACACGGCGGAGGAAACTTTTTAGGGTTTTAAGATTTTAGGGGGATTTGGGGGCGTCAGGAGGGACGGGGGTAGAAGGAAAACCCATCAACTCAAGGCAGACACGGGACAACGTTTTTTTGGGGGGGTTGGATTAATCTGGGGGGGGGGGAAAGAGAGGGAAGGCGAAAAAAACCCAAAACCGACACGAGCCCTAAGATCCAGCACCGACACCCAGGAGCCAGTGGCCGCTACGGCACTACGAGCCGGGCCCCACCAGCACATGTAGCAGATCTCCCAGTGCCGACCACTCCGCAATACCCCAGGAGCCAACAACAGCCGCTACCGCCGGCCTGAGATGGTCGGCGTCGCCGTCGCCGTCGCCGTCGCCGCAACCTGCACCTGGCGGCGCCGCTGCCGTACCCGCTGCATCCCGCATCCCCTCCATCCGCCGCCGCTCTCCTACGGCGTGCCCGGGTACGACCAGTGCCGGCACGTGTACGGGCACAGCCCCCGCCTCTACCAAGGTCCTCAGCAAGTGCAGTGCTCGCACTCGCGTGGGTCGGTCCCCCGCCGCCAGGAGGGCGGGCGGCAGCACGGAGGAGAGCAGCCAGTCGGCCAGGTCTAGGGGGGGAGGGGATGGGGGGTGGAGGATGGGGGAAAGGAGACACGGGGGCCTTATCAGGAAATTCACATGAATTTCGGGTTTTAGAGTTTTCGGGTTTAAGAGTTTTGGGGTTTAAGAACTTAAGGGTTTCCTCTATAGGTTTCAGGATTTATTAATATCTTTTTGGGGGATAGCTTCGGTATTGTGGACGTCATTCGGGTTGCGGCAGGTGTGCGGATAAGGTGTGGAGGTGCGGATGTAAGAGAGGCGATGATTCGTGCTACGGATATGCCAGCTACACACGTACACACGTACGAAGGTAGGTGCCTAAACAGGCCGCACAGGGCCAAACGCCGCTGGTGGTCGACCAGGCCAACCCGCCACTGCAGCAGCTACAGCAGCAACACCCCAACTACAGCAACCGCTGCCGTGCAGCCCGCCTTTACACAGCCATGTGTTGGAGTGCCGTACAACGCACCTGGCGAATGCCGTACAGCCGCCGCCACGTGTCGGGCCTCCAGCGCTGCCAGTGTGGCTACCGCGGCCCGAACCGCCGGTGCCATCCCCAGGTTGGGCAGCGCTGTCGCCGTCACCAACGCCGCTGCGCCTGGTGCCGTACACCCTCGCCGTACATCTGTGAAGCCGTCATCTCGTACGGCAGCCAGGCAGCGCGCCGCGGCAGCGGCATAACCTCCGGTTGCCATGCGTACGGCATAGGCTCCCAGCAGTGCGGGTAGGAGCAGATCGTACAGGTGTTTACGTAGTGCCGTACCTGTCAGAAACGGAAATAACGGTTGGAAGTCAACATTTCAGTTGACAGTTGGGAGTTAGGATAGACCGCTTATTTCTGGGATTGACTCACCTAATGGCGGCTCGCCAAGGGTGCCGTAGCACAGGAGCTCCAACATCGGCGCTAGCACGCCGCCACCGCCGCCGCCGCCGCTACCTCCGCCTCCGGTGCTAACTGCCTGTCCACCGTCGTCTCCCTGTTGTCGTACCGTTCGTACCTTCCGCTCTCCGCCGTCAGTGCTTAGGTCGCCCGCCAAGGTCACGCACACCGCCGCCAAGGTGTACGCTGCCGCCGCCTGCCCAACTGTGAGGCCGCCGCCGCCGCCGCCACCAGCGCGCACATCCGTATCTGCAGCTTCTGCCGTACATGTTATCGTACGGATGCCACCCACACAAGGGAAAGCAGGGGAGGTTGGAAGCGACACCGTTGAGACCGTTGGTGGACTTGTCCGTTTCTTGGCCCAGTGAAATACATACATACATGCATACATACATACATACATACACTTTTTCCTTGGGATCCCTTTGTCGTTGGTTGTGTTTTGAGTGGTTGTTTCAGAGAGCTTTTGCCTTTGCCCTAGCTGAGATTTGTGGACTCGCTCTTGCGGGGACTAAGAGCCCTTCGTGGTGTTTTCACTGCAGCGCCATCCCCGGATGGAGGGGCTGCGTAGTGGCTGCGTAGAGTGTTGGCAGTCTGAGTCGGGGTCGGGAGCACACAAGACGAACCGACTTGTGCTGTGTGCTCCCGACCCTTGCGCTGTGTTTCGGCTTCGGCCCCCGGCTCTCGCGGCCCACAGTGTAATCTAAGTCATACATACATACATACATACATACATACATACATACATACATACATACATACATACATACATACATACATACATACATACATACATACATACATACACGGACACAACGCACCTCCTGGGTTCAGCAGCGCCTGGCAGCACAAATCCGCGAGCTGCCCTAGGAGCACAGCCTCCTCCTCCTCCTCCTCACCCCCGCTGCCGCCACCGCTGCCGCCGCCGACATTGAAGGACAACTCCCCCTCCTCCCGCGCCTTACCCACAGCCGTCGCCGCCATCGCTGCTACTGCCAGCTCCACCGCGGTACGACAAAGGACCGCCGCTGCGGGAACGGCGTTTGCAAGCAAGCCAGCGGCGGCGGTGGAAGCGGTGGCGGCGCCACCACCGCCGGGGCCTGAGGCAGTAGCTGTTGACGATCCTGACCCCGCTATTGCTGCTACTGCCGCTGCTAAGGGGGCCTTACACGTCAAAAGGCTGGAGAGTAGACGCGTCACCAGGGTTTCCTTTAGGTCGTACAGTAATCGCGATATTGGTTGTGACGGCGACCGGGAGGCAGGTGAGGCATCATCTTGGTGCGGATGACGTGGACCCGATGACGCAGCGGCGGCAGTGGCTTGTTGCGTTGCCGTACGGCACACCGCCTGCAGGGCGGCGGCCAGGCAGCAGTCCAGGCCGGGCGGGCCGGTGATGGAGCACTTTCGCCATAGGAGTTCGCCGGTGGTGCCGTCAATGGAGAGGTCGGGCAACGCATCCTGGACGAGCGAACAGAACCAGGGCGATCTGGCCAGGACTGATAGATGGTTGTCTGTCTCTCGTTGGTTCCATGCGGATCCAGGTACGGTTTGACTGCGGATCCGCATGTACGGCACGCAGCCGGAATTAGCAGCATGGACGGAATGGAAAACGGGGATTTTAATATGTGAGTTTTGTACCGGAAATGTACAGGGAATGCATAGAGAATGATTGGCGTTACGCGGAAATGACACAGTACAAGCGCATCGGGGCGGCTGGCTGGTTCTCGCCGCCGGAGCTGCTCAATGATCTCCGACCGCAACGCACATTACACACCTTGAGGATGAAGGGTTTTGACAGACGGCGTAGGAAAGGAATTCTGGTAGGGTGTCCATCATATTGTCGGAGCACCCTGGTCGGCCTAACGGCCAGCAACTTACAGATGGGGACTTGTGGGGTAGTATGCAAATCCCATAGTTCTATAGAAGTCTTTCTTCTCGTCTTTTTTACTTGGCAACTTCTATTCTGTACTAAAAAGAAACCACATGATGTGCGCTTAACACCGTCATTTTTTCTATCGTTTTGGAGCCGTATTGAACTATTTCATCCTTTTGGATAAACATGCAGCCAACACGTATTTTTAGGTTTCTATGAATTTGGGAGATTTCTGCTGCAGCCTTGTTCCTCGATAGGGCTTGTACTTCTGGTTCTGTCAACATTTTTACCTTGGTTCAACTACTGGCAAAACCATCGACATCTAATCATTGTTCTGCCGCCGCTGAGCGTCTTCGCAGCGGCGGCAGAACTTTGTGATGACTGAGCGTAGAGAGTCAGCGACAGCTTTGCAACCCAGCCATCTTAAAGTATGACAACTAATAGCAATGTACATCTCAGAGTCATAAGCGGACATGAACTGCCCAAAACAGGTGCAGTGGCCGGCAGCAAGTTTTGTGGGCTTATCGCATCAGCGAGTCAACCCTGTTTCCTGCGTACCATCAAGTTGCATATCCCTAGCCATGCATGATTAACTCTCAAGGCAACTATCATGAATGAAACCGTATGGTTATCGCAGCTAGTCGTCCTCGCCGACGACCCCCTGCTTCTCCCTTACCACCTACCTGCTTCCTGATCACAGCGTTCAACCGGACACCCCTACCCATGCCTGGTCTTGGCTGGCTTGACGCAATATCCCATTACCTTTTCAAAAACCCATCGAACCCCGTGAAATTCTGTCCTTGTTTTTCGCATCCCCCTCAATTCGATCACATTCATTAACCACCAACACAACCGGTCGAACCACCTCTTGACGGAAATGATGGCAAAAACCCCCGCAAGCCCTGCACCTCCGAAACCATATCATTTCTTGCCCGTGCAGACCTGTTCAGCCATATTGACCCTTACGTGGAGGTCGGCTTCATGGGGGAGACCCTTGGCCGCACCGCCAGGAGAAGCAACAACCCCAACCCCGTCTGGCAGGAGGTCGTGCTGGGGGGCGCGGGAAGAGGACTTGAGGCAGAAGAGGAGGAACGAAGAAACGGCCTCATGGGCAGATTGGGGAGGAAGACTTGCATCACCTTGCATCTAGAGTGTATTTTGTCATCCCGCCCATCGATTCATCCAGTCATCCAGTCACCCATCCATTCAAACAGCCATCCGTCCATTCATCCACCTATACATACATTCACCTGGCTAACGCACGTTCACATACGGCCACAACGATTCCTCCAGGACTTCTTTTTCGAGGCAGAGGTGGATGATGACGGGGTACTGTACGGCACGCTCGTACTGGATCTGTACGACGGGGAGGAGGGGAAGAACGAGCACGTTGGATCCATACGACTGGATCTGCAAACTCTGAGCCCGGAGACGCTTCTTGAAGTCCCCCTGGAGTTGCCGCTGGTCTTCAAGGGCGACAAGAGGGGACAGAAACTCGCGCGCAGCGCGCCGCGAGCCCGGCTGGCGCTGCAGGTGGTCGCGCTGGGCAAGGCCTTCTCCTCATACGTTTCGGAGCTAGCGGACGCGGTTTCAGAGGCCGCCGCCATCGTGGACGACCGCTCCGGAACCGTACTGGTTGCCGTACCGGGCACGGACGACACGCTCTGGGCAGGGCTGAGGTTCGGGCCGCGGTCAACACAGCTCCTGTTGCTGAGTACGGCGGACCCCAAGGCCAAGGCGGACAACCCGGCAGTGTGGTACGACATGTCGTACTCGGGGTCGCCGAGCTTACGAGTGGAACGGCTGCAATACCGCAAGCCCGTTAAGATGTACGGTCTCAAAGTGTGGGCCGAAGTGCGTGCCACCAACGTTCCAGTGGACGCCAAACTGAGCAAGGTGTGACGGGAGTTAGTTAGGGTACGGGTACGGGTGCCGGGGGGGGAAAGACGAACCACCTGAACGAGTGAAGCTGCTGCCAAGGAAAGAGAAGCAGAACTGACCAGTAGGCGGTTTTGAAGAAGCCGTCCTCGGGATGATGACGACCGCGGAAACCTACCTGCCTACCTAGCCGCCAAGACTAAAATAAAAGCGGAAGAAAAGCAGTAGAGCGGGGTCGGGTGCGGGGGCCCCGGTGTGGGCACACTACCCCCAAGCGGAAAACCCCCAACGAAGGCCTGCTGCGGACCAACAACCGCTTCAGGACAGACCTACAGTGCCCAGCTCTAAACCCAGCTCTAAAAAAAACCCGAAATAACCACGGGGCAGCCAGCCACCGTCACCCACCGCGACACAACATCAGAGTCACACCACTGTGCCAGATGTGTACACACAGATTCCACACTGCGATTTCAACAGAAAACACAAAACAGAGCCGCGGAAAGAGAGGTCCGAATGTGCCACAGACAATATTCCCCCTGCGGTTGGGACCCTCTTCGACCCTCCTCGACCCTGGATGGATGTTTGGACTCTCTCGCTCTTGAACCATCATCGCTGGAATACATGGAACTACATGCATGGCGTTATTGGCACTGGTTCTAGAAAAGTCTGTACTTGAGCGGCTAGAAACATTAACATTATTCCAAAAGTGCAACTCAGAAAAGGATTGGGAACTACGATGCATGGAACAGTATGCTATAGTAGTTCTTCTTCTAGCCCCACCAACACCTGCGGGCTGCGGTGTGCTCTGCAGGTGCGCATTTTGGAGCGGGAGCACCGCCTGGTGGACACCCTGGACCCGGCGGACGTGTTGGCGGGGCACGGCTACATGATCGGCATGCCCTTCCTGGCCGCCGTCAAGGAGCTCTCAAAGAAACCCGCCAGGGTGCACGTGGACGCGGCGGCGCAGGCTCTTTGGATTCGGATGGATTCAAACCAGCCGCAGCCCGCGCAGCTGCTACAGCTTGATTACGGGGAGGACGTGGCGGCGGCGGCGGCGGCGGCGGCAGAAGCCCCCGCCGCCGCTGAAACGTCGCCTGGAGGCGGAAAGAAAAACGGGGGCGAAGGGGGGGGCGGCAAGGGAGGGAAGGGTGGAGGTGTGGTGGGGAGGCTTCCGGCCTTGCGGATATGCTCAACAAGTTCGGAGTTGAACAAAGGATATGAGTTGGCTTTTTTTGGTGGTGGCGGCCGAGCCGCTGCGGGCCCTATGGTGACTGTTTCGGAGACCTTTCGTCGGCCCAAGCCGGTGCTTGGCGGGATGTACGACATCGTACATTCGGTGGAGTTACGTGACGCGTTCGTTGGGTACGCGTTGGAGGAGGTCGGGCTGGGGTGTTACGAGCTAATGAAACCATGTCGTACATGGCGGTTAGGGAAGTTGTTGACGGCGGCAGCACGGGGCGAGCTGGCCAACATCGAGGAGGGGGGTTACGGCGGCGGCGGAAGAGCCAGCGGCGGCGTGGAAGGCGACGCCGACGGCGCCGTGGACCGCATTGGTAGCGCCAGTACCTTGGTTCGAAGCTTCTTGTCTTGGCTGCCGTGCATGGCGCCGCCACGGGCAGATGCGTATCGAGAGGAGGAGCTGACGTCGGCGGCGGCGGTGGGTGACTCAAAGAAGGCCCGAAGGGGCTCTAGTGCCAAACAGGAGGAGGTTGGGGAAGACGATGGACGAGGCGCCCACGGCCGGAGAGAGAGCCGCAGCCGCAGAGGGAAAGATCTCGGTGGTGCTGATGCTGGCGGTGCTGGTGGCCGCCGAGCTCGATCCACCGGTGGCGGCGCCGAAGGCGCCGTCGCATCTCCTCTGGCGCCGACGCCGTCGTCCAAAAGCGTTCAAGGCTCCGGTGCGGGGGTGTCCCGCCGCAACCCTCCAACGTCCCCAGGCGGGGGGCCCGGCAGGGCTTCCCGGTTGCAGGTCGCCGCCACCGCCAGCGTCGGGTCGTCCTCAGACCGCGTCGGGTCGTCCACCAGCCTCACCGCGTACAACAGTTCGAAACAGAAGTACGGCGGGAAGAGGTACGGCGGCAGCGGCGGTGGTGGAGGTGACAAGTTGTCGAGCATGCTCAGCAGCAACAGGAGCGGCGAAAGGGGAACAAGAGCTGAATTGGACGAGCTGGACGATGACTGAGCGAGTTGGATTGATGCTGTACACTGTACTGCGAGAGCCCGGATGACTCCGTACATCTTTTATTCAATCCGCCGGGCGCACGATATCGGTCTTGCACGGTTTGCAAAATCAGATTCTGTTAATATGTATATATCAGTTTGCTTAGCATCGTTTTTTTCTTCGCATGGTGTGCCAAGGGCTCCGTTGCCCTCATGTGTGTAAGGGGCTCGCTTCGGCGGTTTCCACTGCTGGTGTGGCAGCTGAGACCGTCATGAAGGCTGCTTAGGGTGATGGGCGCTCCGGGTTTAAACACACAACATGCAGCAATGTGCGATGGAGTCTGTGGCTGGGGTGCTCTCTTGTGTGCGACGTGCTCTCAAGCAGTGCCGAGGTACTAGCTGCAAGTAATGGCGGGGCGTGCTGCATGTGCGTGCGGATGAAGGAAGTGGGGCTTATTGTGAGTGGGGTCAGTAGGAATTGGGGCGCGGTGAATTAAGGGCGCGGTGAGATTTTGTATAGAAATGGCTCATCCTGGCGGAAATGGCCTCGCTTCTTATATAACGAAGCCTCAGAGGATTGCGGCGCCTGTGTACACCCCTAGGGAAGGGAAGGGAAGGGAGCGGACACCATCTAGGGCGCAAGGAAATGAATGAAGTTCTGTATATTGGATCGTTCGACTGAATCGCTCGCGGTGGCAGTAGTGCTGCTGCTGCTGCTGCTACCTCCTTGCATAGCGCATTGGACACTGTATTTAGGGGCCACATATGGATGTCAAGGAAATGAATTTATTTATATACACAACGTGCAAAAAGCGAGGGTCCGCTGTGGGGAGAGAACGGAGAGATAAACATCAAGCCATGATGGGTGCTTGAAGTCCAGGAGAGGAAAGGGGTTGCAGAGCTCGGGCTTCGTTTGGCGTTGTGCGCATGTCTGGTGTTGTGGCACGGAACGTGCTGCTGATCATCAGGCCGGCTCAGCATTTTGATGCAGCAGCTTTTGGGTGAGCGGCTGAGCGCTTTTTGTTGTTGCTGCATAGTGTGTGTGTGTTTAGTCGTGCTTTCGACTAAAGTTTGTCATTTGTTTGGATGCGCCGTTGAGGTGGCGTTAGTATTGTGCCACTACTCGGCTGCTGCTGCTGCTGCTGCTGCTGCTGCTGCTGGAGATTGAAATGGCAACGGTTACTGGTGGGGCTCCAAAACGGTGTGGCATGTATAGGTGGGTAGGCAGGTAGGTGGGTCCGTATCTACTTAGGTACTTGTCGCGCGTTTTTTTAAGGTTGAGGCGATTTGCGGTTATGAGGCGCATGGTGTTGTCCTGTCCCCATGCTGCTCCTTTCTTGCGATGATATACCAACGGACCAACGTCCAGCCATCGACGTCCAGCCAAGCTTGCTCTTAATTTCTCTTACGATTTGTTGTTACTTAGTACGACATTTCAGTACGGTGCAGAACACTGTTTGACTGCGTGCGTGCTCTGTCTCAGGAGTTACTGACAACGCATGTCGCTTGATCGTGTTTGATTTCCCAGTAGCGGTAAATGTAGGTGTGCTTGCTTGCTTGCTCTCCAGAGGACGAATCACGGTATGGCTGGCCCTCTGTTTTCTAAGACGTCGATGTGGATACGCCATGCGTTGTAGGGGACAATTACTGTTTCCATCTTGGAGAGGGGCAGGGAGAGTGAGCAAAAGGAGGTATTATTGTCGTGATGCCGTACGGTACGTGTTTTTCGTTTCTTACACGCGGTTGTGGATTCCAGGCGTTATATATTCTAGGTAATATAGTTCGATGTTCGGTATACATTTACATTATGTACATGATATGGCTTCCCTGAACCAATAAAGCGCTAATTGTTAGGAAATTAGCCTGGTGTTTGTGACCGCCGCCTGCCCATTCTTGTCTGACCTTCTTAGTTTGGTGGCCGCCAACCTGAACAAGCAAGCCTGGTTGCGTTGCGTTGCGCTACACGCACATGCAAAACACGATTTTTTACGGCGATGCCCTGGTGGGCCCCTTCCAGGCACCAAGCAAACAAGCTATAGCTTGGATAGGAGCAGCAGCGAGCAGCTTGGAAAGTACCACCGACTGGACCGACCGTTTCGGTGGTGGACGACGGTGACGGTTTAAGGCTGGCTACGGTTGTGTGGCTTAGGAGGGTCGTTTCGTGTTGGGGCTGTTAGGGCTGTGTGCCCCGAGCAGGCGAGGGTTACAACTTACGAGAAGCTACGATTCGCGGCGGGAGACCCTAAGCCCATAAAAAGCTGAAAGTCCATTTTAACGGAGGACGAGCGTTTGAAGCCCAGAGCACGCGAACCCGGCAACGACAAATGCTCTGTGGGTGTCGACAGAGATCAACAAGGGGATCCATGCAACCTAACCGCAACAACACTCAAATACCCATCAAATTATCTACGAGAAAGAATGTTTTCTTAGGGTTTTGGTTTAAATTCGATACACTGCCAAAAAAACTAAAACCCCAAGATTCTTCCGGAGGCCTGTCACCCGGATGTCGTCGGTCCTCTTCACTAGCACACTCTCACACACCCCACACACACATACACGCAGTGTGGACTGTGGCCCCTCATGCCCCTCTCCTCCCGCTAGGGGGAGAGCACTCCGGCGGTCATTCCCGTTGGGGTACGGTTAGATGCCCCTGGCCCGGATCGATGGCCCGGATCGAGGCAGTCATGTAACAAATACACACACAACACACAAATACACACACAACACACATATACACACACAACACACACATATACACACACAACACACACAGATACACACATACACATAAAGACATCAGCGACAAAACCCTTCTTTCACCCCATCTCACTACTTCCCCCTCCCGCCCTCCCTCACTCAGTTCCCCACCTTCCCACCATTCAAAGTTCCCACTAAGAGTCAGGTTCCGGTTCCCCAAACCGCGTCAGGTCAAAGGTGAGGGTCTTGCTGCAGCCCCTCTCCGAGTCCCGGCACACGCCGACCAGCAGATCCGCCTTCTCGTAGAAATTCTCCTGTGCAAGGCCAGGGGGGCCCAGGAGAACGTGTCTTAGCTGAAGAAGAGGTTTTGGGAAGTTGCGGGCGTTGCTGGGGGCTGGGACTCCCGGATAAGGGGCCGTGACGGCAGACAGGGCAGGGCTGCTAGGGGGAAGTTTTAGGTCTCAGGGTTCATTTTAAGGATGCGGGTAGACGCCGCCGTAAAGCAGCGCCACGGGAGAAAAAAACACTACACGCACGATTACGTCACCTAACTGCCATCTGATAAACTAACTGCCACCGGTTGCGATCACGGGCGGGCCAAACGATTTGAACACGATCGCGGATTTTGCGATGGAGGGTCCCAGAGCGATGGAGGGTCCCAGAGCGATGGAGGGTCCCCGACGCAGTCAGCTATGCAGCCTCGCTGACAGTAGCTTTTGCACAGTTGCACGCGTTACAGCGGGAGCGGGAGGGGGGCCACAAACTCCCACACACCTTGAGGCTGATGACGATGGACTGGAAGCCCTGGGGAGCCTCACCACCACCACCACCATCACTACTGCCGTCGACAACCGCACCAGGCCCGGTGCCCGGCCGGGTGCGTCGGCGGATGTAGTGCGCCACACGCGCCACATTGGTG